CCAGCACAGAGAGACTGGGATCTGCAACCAGTCAGTGTGCAGGCAGGTCTCATTTCTCATTCTGAGCCTGCTGCAAAAAAACAAAACAAAAAAAGAGATTTCAGATTTCAGTCTCAGTGAAATCTACTATCAGTGACATCATCATTTGTAGGTGACACGAGGCAGCATTACACATTTCCGTCCCCACCAGAGACGATCCTCCAAGCCGCTCTGTAACAATTGCGTCACTGTTTTGACCTGATGACCTCTTTCAAAATGCCAAACAGCTGAACGACGCAGCACTTCCCCAAAGTTTCACAAAATCTGATCATCTGTGTCCGAGACATTTCAGACTCCTGCAGTAAAATAAAAGAAGAAATGGATGAAGAGTGAACAACCATGCTTTCTTCCTCACAAGACGTACACAATTAAGACAACATAAGTGCATGTCATTGCTTGTGCGTTACACAGAGGAAGAAGTGTTATTACAACAGTGTAAGGTGCTCAGCTCCATCGCTTCCTACAGAAGATGTTAATTTAAAATAAAGAATAACAGTTTTTAGTAATTTCCTAAAAACAGAGGGGAGCTGTAACAAGCAATACTCAAACAGGAGTGAACAGTGCATTTGTTGGGGACTATTTTCAGCTGTGGATTGATACACGTTTAGTGCTCCTGTGAGTATTTACTGCGGCGGGGTCAGTGCATGTGAGATTGCCACAAAGTAAATTACTACAGTGCCCAGGCTCATGGTAATAAAGGAACATTGACGTGTTTTCAATCGTAACTCAGACAGTGGAGCTCTGTGGAGTTAAATCCATCAGCCTTTGGATACACAGGCAGGCGACACCGGTTCATCTGATTTGTTCACAGTAAGAAATATATAGAATATCACCTGCTACATCCTTTAAAGCTGCTGTGTCTGAAATTTTAAATATATCCGAGCCTAGTATCAAAAAAAATTCACTGTGGTAAATGGAACTTTTTTCAAAAACTGAGCAAAATATCAAACACGTAAAGAGTAAAGCGTAATATTCAAGGATCTAGTTATTGTCCTGTAATGAAATGTGTAAATTTCGCTTGTAAATCTTGGAATATTTCTTTTGTGAAAGACAAATTATCCTCAAAAGTCCTTTTTATTGGCAGGAGCCCAGTTTCCCACAGAGCTGAGCATCACGAATAAATTCCCAGCCTGCAGGAAACACTGAACACCACAGACTAACAAATGTCCTGACCGTCGTCTCATTTGTTGATGGTAATTACACCAAGGTGTCACAATTAACTTGACAATGATACTCGATATCGCCGTGCGACGGATCTTTGAAAGTTGTGAGATGACCTACAAGATACATTTTTTTATTTTTTTTTATTATTATTAGTGGCTTTACATCCCGGCAACACCAGTAACCCCACTGCGAATAATTAACGGCGGCACTGTTAATCAAACATGCGCAGCAGAATTTATCAGAGGGTCTGCAGAATAATTATCAATGACAGTGGGAACATACAACAACATTTGTCCTCGTCTTCCCACCAATTATCCCCGTCAGCCTCCCTGACAGCGGCGCGCACACACGTTGAATGGCCTAATCTCTCTTCACAAATTAGCTCTGTCTCTCATCTCCCCTTCCCAAATGTACACTATGCCCTTAAACGTCACATGGTAATACTGCCTATTCATAACCGTTATCTCAGGGGCCTTTGATAACGGAGAGAAACAGGGGGCCGTGAAGAAAGAAAAAAAAAAAAAGAAAAAAAAGACAGAAATGTAAAACGGGGGGTGAAAACAAGCAATGTGGTTCGATCTCAGATTTCCCGCTGGCCCTGAGCTATCAGAGCCATTGATTGGCTCATGTAATTCTGCTCCGATTTGGCTTGGCCAATCAATGGGCTGCAGACCGACTTCCTGTGACTATGCAGCCATTAGACTAGGAGGTGAAAAAATCCCATAGTTTCTTGTGTTCCTGGAAACGCACAGTTTACACGCGCCCGTGCCTCGACCGCCGGGCGGCTCTCGTCTTATTGCGCCGGCGTCTGTATTGACCGGCTCGCACAAAAGTCATGGTGTAACCTTGCAAGTAAAATACAAGCATTAAAACCAAGATGTGTCTGATTTTACACTTACTGTAACAGACTTGTTACTTATGTGAAAATTATTGACATTTTTTAAGTAGCTCATAAAAAAAATATTCAAGCACTTAGCAGCAGCTTTGATCTGGATCATTATGCTCATGTACTGCAAAGGTTTTCTCCAAATAATCAAACCGACTGTGTGTGTAATTATTTCTAAACTAAGACCATATTAATATTCATGCTCTTTCCCGCAGTCCACTTTAAATATGTTGCAACTGTCCGCTGTATATTTATGCATGCATTTAGATAGTATATATTAGTTTTAATTGCTCATCTCTTATTCTATTCTTGTGCTCATAACCTACTTTTCTGTTTTTTCCCTGCATTATTCTGTCTGCTGCTGGCACAACTCATTTCCAGAGATCAATACGGCTTCACCTACTGTAATTTCATCTTAGGTCAGTAACAGACAAAAACCTTTACAGATACATCGGCTTTAGTTATAAAAGCACTTGAGCTGAATGCTTACATCAGCAATGGTTTCAAGGTTTCCAATGATCCCAATAGAGTAATGTTTATACTGTATAATGTTGCAGAGGAAAACAAGACGTTTTTCTGTGGGGGTGGAAAACTGCACGAAATGTCATTCAAATAACTGTAATAGAGCTTGAATGATGAACTGGAACAATCCGATGGAATATATGTATATGCAGTGCTGTCATTGTAAATCAGAGCTTTTCAAACTGCGAGGGGGTGAACGGGTAAAAATTCATACTCCTTGTTGGAGCCATAACTCAGTTGAATCTGAAGACACAGATGAGATATACATATTTATAGATTCTGTCTACATTATACTTTCCAAGGAAAACATTATCCCCAGTGTTCGGTGCGTGTAACATCTACAAATCTATTTAGAAATCATAGGAAAAGAGACATTCCTTATAACTCCTATTAACAGAACTTCCCTTTGAATCTTCATGTTTCTAAGTTTAATTCATTATTAAAGTAATCCAGTGATAGTTGTCTGTACATCAATGGGTACACTGCAAATAGGATCCACTAATGTCGAATTCGGCTACTTTTAATGGTGCTAATTTGCCAAAGTGTTACTTTGGAAGCCCCTGGCGTAATTTGAGGGTCAGCAGTAAATTTAATGGGGGAATATCGGCAAAATTAAAATGCATGAGTAGACTTTTCCCTCATGTGGTGATCACAGAATGAGAGGATTACTCTGAAAAAATGTCTCTGGTCTTCACACACACAGTCACACACACACACACACAATAACACACACACACACACACACACCCTCGATTACGAAACAAACATAACAGCACTTCATTCTCTGCTTAATTTAGCCATTGATTTTTCTAACACCAGATCACACCATAGATAGTACAAGACATCAGGCTGCAGTGTTTTATGGTCTTTGTGGGAACCCCCACACCCTGCACACACAACACACACACACCACAGACACAACACACACATACACACACACACAAACACAAACTCACTCAGTCAGACAGTGAGAAAGAAGGAAAGAAAGAGGACATTTCCCCGGGGACCATCACTAAAAATCACTGCCTACTACTATTAGGAGATCTAACCATGGCAGTGTGTGTGATTGTTGTTTGTGTGTGTGTTTAAGCGTGTGTGTGTGTGTATGTGTGTGCAGCTGCTGTCGCCCTCAGCGTGTGCAGCTTTGCTCAGATCAGATGTGAACCAGCAGACACTCACAGACACAGCTGTACCGACACGTCACACGCACACATATACATGTACTGTACGTTCATGGAGCTTCACACACACAGACACACGTACACACTAAGCTGTTTTAGTGACACACAACCAAAATATGTGTCATCTATGTGTCATTTTTTTTGGATGACGCCATTATAATCACTATAATTTAACCTTATTAGCATTTACACCATTACTACTGGCACTGATCCTGATCCGTGTTTTACCAACAATAATAATGCTGATGTTATTCATCATCATGTCAGAACCAGAGAACGTGCAGCTTCGAAGGATAATTCCTGTTATAACTTTGGACCATTGGATCTCTATCAGTTATAATAACACTGTACTCAGAAATGTAATCGCCGAGATCTGATGACACAACAACATCCAAACCCAACATGACAAGATACACAAGCATCAAACGAGCCAACAGTTTAATCAGATTATCTAAACCACTGGTGAGTACAGCGGAAATGTCGGTAACAATCCCTCATTGCACAGGAAAACTGTGTGGACATGCAACTGCTGTAAATACAGTCATTCAAGTTTGAACCAGGAAATAAAATCAAGATGGATGTTTATAATTTTAGCCTTTAGTTTTCTCTTCCCAATATGTTTGACTCACCTGTGTGATCGTCTGACGACTCGTATTTCTTTCCCTTATCTGACTTTATTTTAATGATGTCGACACGTCCCAGATCACAGCAATTACATAAATTAACTTTATTTTTGGAATGACATGAGAGGACTGATATCGATTCCTTACCTGTGTGTCGAGTGCAAAGATGGAGTCAGGATGTGGTTAGCTTAGCTTAGCTAAAAAAAGGCAGGAAGCAAGGCTAAACAGGTATGTTGGCCCCCTCCAAAATCCAAAAATGCACCTACCTACATGTTACTGTTTCATCCAGGAACAAACAGAACATGTAAAAATGACAATTTGTGGTTTTAGATGAAGTAACATCTTCCTACTACAAAATAATGTTGAGCTATTGAACGTGGTGAGTACAGTGATATTATATGATATGATATACTGATGGGAATAGTGTGGAAATTAGGACCCCAAATGTGATATGTGGTTGTTTGCTTAAATGGCATTCTCCACTTTGTTGTGCAGGAAACCTCTTTTTTTCCTGGTTTCCTGTAGTTAAAAACCCCAAAATCGGTGCATGAACAACAACATGAAGACAACGTGCGAGCGACTTACAGGCGTTGGTGACGGCGAAGCTGTTGGCCGTCTCGATGTTGTCCACGTGAGGCACCAGGTTGAACGGGGCTTCCGAGGCGTTCGGGCTGGTGTTGTGCAGGAAGATTGCCAAACGAAAGGCCGTGTACTCCTGATCCGTGTTTCTGATGAACAGCCCACCTGAACAGAGGGGGGAGGGGGGGGGGCACACAGGTCTGATAAGGAGCATGTTTAACCTCACTACACATAGTTCACTTACTGCTGACTTGCACAGAGACGTGAAACAAGTGGCAGAAAGCCTCTGAAATAATCTCACCACCATCTGCAGACGTGCAACAGCCTGGACACAAACAAGAGTCTGAGATCGAAAGGTTGTCAAACACTTCTTTGAGACACACATGCACATGAACCGACATTACAGTCCCTGTTTTCATCTCCCAGGTGGGTAAAATGCTTGTTGAGTTACTAACGACCCGTGAGAATAGTCATGAGAATGAAACTAATCATAATTGTGATTCTCATACATTATCTGTGGGGGAGGATTTTCAGCCAAATTCAACAGTCTCTCCCCTGCGGAGGGACACCTGGAGCCTCCTCAAGGGCCCTGATTGGAGGAGCAGAACTGAATCGAGGAGCAAAATAAGTTATTTGTCACTGCCTTTAAAAAAAAAAAGACCCATTCGAGTGTTTACTCATGTGGATCAAACGTTTTACTGTATGATTACGTCTTATCACATGCTAACGTGCTCATGCTGACAATGCCAACACTGCTGATGTTAGCGTTTACCGTGCTCAACTTCTCGGCTTGCTACGTTAACACGCTAATATTTGCTAATTAGCACTAAACAGTCGAGGCTGATATTTTGACAAGGACGATGGCTCTGAATGAAAAGCGTTCAGCGTCATCACAGTTCGACCTGAGGGGGACATCGACATCTGGAAGAAATGCCATAGCAATCCATCCAACGGTTGTGGAGATACACTTCGCTCCGAATTAAAAATGTCAACCTAGAGATGGTGCTAGAGGAAAGGTCAGATGACAGGACTCTGTCATGAATGCATGGCACCACATTTCACTGCAATCCGTCCAGTAGCAGCTGAAATATTTCAGTCTGGACCGACAATCCCTGAACCCATGCGGCTAGCACGCCAAGAAACACCCCGGTTGAGGTTTTTGGGAAGGACGGTGGTCGTGGTTAACAGAAACCATGGTCGCTGACGGGGGTTAATACAGGTCACATTCGGCCTTCGAACAAACAACTGATGCTGTTTCTTCTTGTGATGACAGTCACAACATGGGGTTTTAAAAGCATCCACCTAAAGCTTATTAGGGTTCCACACTGTTTCCAGTGGCTGTGGTCAGAGAGGAACCTCCATCACATTAGAGGCGGACACAACTGACTGGACAATATATGAAACATAATGAAAGGCCAATATTGGTCTGGTAAATCACTTTGCCAATATCCTATTGTCGTCAATTCAGCCTTAATGCTACAATATAGAAAGTCATAGCTCTTTAGGCGCCCCCGGCCTCTGTGGCACGGCCTGTCTAACATGTAAATCACCTTTTGTTTCATATTAATGCAAGCAGGAATAAAAAAAAGTGATATAATTCTCATCAGATATCCTGCTGAATCTACAGCAGCTCCAGTATCAAGCATCTCATACATGACTTTGCTCTTGGTTTCTTTTCTTTTTTTTACCCCCCTCCTCTTTCTGTTCCATTACAGCCTTGCTCATTTACAAAGATCTCGACTAAGCTGTTCATGGTTGTGCAAATGTCAGCAGTGTTTTAAGTTAGACGCAGTTTGTTTCACATTTCAAAATCTAACTTAAGGCCATTTTTCTTTGCGATGAGACTGTAAATGTCATTTAAAGCAAAATGCCAGTGTGTTCTTTGTACGGCTGACCTCTTTAGAAGGTAAACTTCGGAATATTTTACTCCTCTATATGAAGCCCATTCAGTAAAGATAAAGCAATGGAGTCGTTCTGATTTACATATCATTTCAAGTGTGATGGTTTCATGTCTCATTGACTCACACTTGCAACCAAATGCTCACAGGAAGTGTTAACTCCTGATTTAAGGTGTGAACAGTTTGTACATCTTGGCTCCCAATCAGTAAGAATACCTTCCACATATTTCTGATTTTTGAACTTAGCTGCGTTCGTTCAGCTACGACTTTTCTACTGCAAGACGCACAATAACAATAACAGCATATGGTTTGACAAAAACACGACTCGTGGCGTACAAAGGGGCTGAATATGTGCTGATGCTGTGAACTGTTCTCTGTAAGTCTGAGAATATGGCAACACCCGTTTAACCTCAGTGAATAACCTCTGAAGAGTCACGGTCTTAAGAGAGTTATACACACACACACACACACGCATGCATGCACACACACACACACACACACACACACACACACACACAGCGCCAGGCTACTCAGATAATGTCGGGATCTTCTTCAGAAGTGACAAGAGCTTGAGGATCCTTCAGACAGAACCTGTAAATCCTTACAGAACTCTGAAAAACCTTTTAATGTTGCTTGGAATATCAACTTTCAAAATCCTGCTTCACTTTGAAGGTGGATTTAAATCTATGCGCTTTGCAAACATATAGAATCTAGTCTTTTTTGATCTTTTTTTTTTTTCTCCTTTTCATTTTGTGGATTGACTTCCTGTCAAAGACGCCCCCCCCCATGCAATGTGTGTTGACACAGGCTGCAGCCCCACCAAAGGAAATAAGGCGGTGCAGCAATATATAACTCTCAGGATCAATCGCCACATGAATGGCTGCTGTCAGAATTAATCTGCGGCAGCTGCAGAGCATGTTTGCCATGGCTGTGTTTGTGTACTTGTTTCTGTGCAGCATGCATGTGTACACAGCAAATTTCCTAGTGATAATAAGTGTTGATTTTTCAGTGACAATTATCAGGAACAGACAAAGCGTTGATTGGAGGAAAGCTGATGGAGCTGCTCAAAAACTGTGAGTCTGGTGGGTCAGGACACACGTTGGATTTATACACTCAGGTTTGTTATCACTGGCCAAATGATAATGAGAAGTGGCTTTAATTATAGTAAAAAGTATGTTTGAAATAGAGAAACCATATGAGCAAAAAGGCTCCCACACCAGATTTTTTTTTTTTTTTTGCCTAAATCAGCAGCAAAATATCAAATCAATCATGACGGCACAGCAGCTCCACAGATGCAGCTTTAAACCCCCCCACCCAGCTCAAGTGTCCTCACTTCCAGGGGTGCTGTTCTGTAACAGACCCTGGCCTCTGACCTCCCTGGAGGGGAGGGGAGGGGGGGGGGGGGGATTCGAGTATCACGCTGATATAAAAGGACAAGGAGAATCATTTGAACAGCTTGTCATTTTTCATCAGCCTGACTGATTCTGATGTGCGTCAACTCCGCTACAAGCAGGGGCGCAGTGGAGGGTAAACCCACAAAAAGAAAAGTCAGTCTGAGCAAATATTTCATCCCAGAAATGCTGTTTTAAACACCTTCTCAAAAACAAAACAAAAAGAAAAACAATTGATTTGTGAGGTGATTTTTACAGGAAAAAGAATGAATGACTGCTTTTCTGATAATTGATTTTTTTTTTTTTTAGGGAGGGTTGTGATGATCAACAACTGGAGGTCACAGTTTGCCTCTCTTTTCATCCCTCTGCCATTAAATCATGCAGGTCAATCTGGCTGCTACAGCAGTGAAATGAACCAGGAATCCATCACCTTTATCTCCAGCCATGACAAACACTTTTAAGTTTGTTAAACGCAAACATGGAGATGTTAAAAAATTAAAATTAAAAATTAAAAAAAAGGTGTGCAGCTGGGGAAGAGGAAACGGTGATGCTGTGAGGGCCTATGGGACCGTGGCAGAGGTTTATTGCAGCGCCAGGACCGGGGGTCTGAGAGAGTGTTAACGGCAGTCAATGCACAGGCAGCCTGCATAGGGAATACACACACTTTGCTGCTCTGATCTGCTGCAGTGGCGGAGTGCACTGGGATACACACTCTAGCCTGCAGATACAAAGCGCATTAGGTGCGTGTGTGTGTGTGTGTGTGTGTGTGTGTGTGTGTGTGTGTGTGTGTGTGTGTGTGTGTGTTTTAAACATGCACAGCATCTACAGAGGAAAGAATCCTGCCTGTGTGTGATTATTTTAGAGGAGAGAAAAAAAAGACAAAAGACCGCGTAAGGAAATCAGCAATTTCCACTTTGAGTAGTGCTGAGGTGTTGGATGGCAGGACAGAGGCAGCAGACAGGACCGTCCACAGATTCATCCACATGATTCATTTTCTGCTTAGAATTAACATCAAGGCTCCACACTTACCGATCTGAACGCTGCTCGGGAAAGCTCCCATTGTCAGTCCCCAAAAGCCAGAGAATATCAACAGAAACCAGTCGCGAGAAGAAATCCTCATTTTGTTTCGGTTATAAACTGATGAGAGACATCGAGCAGGTTTAATTAACACCCCCGGGGCAAAAGCAACATCACAGGGTAAAAAAACAAAGAGATAAAAAAAATATATATACAAATGCTCGTTAAATATCCATGTCTGCTTCTGATGGCTTTTTCTCGGATATCCCCCCGCACTGCCGCTCGTTTGTACCGTCAAACTGCGTCCGTCCGTCCGGCGCTGGAGATTTTGCGCACAACACCACCACCACCACCACCGAGATGAGGAGGAGAGGGGAGGGAGGGAGGGAGGTGGAGGGGGGGGGGGGGTGAGCCAGCGGCGGCCAGTGCGTTTCTGGAATGGGGCTGACTCACAGTCACAGGCAAATAACACACATGCGCTTTTTACCCGACCGGGGCAGGCGGGAGGGGCGTCACTCAGTCCGCTCCGCACCGAGCCGCGGAGAACTCCCCGCAGCTCGTTTAACACCAAAACTTCCAGAACCGCTGATACGAAAAACACACCGATGCCATGACTGATGACTGACAGGAGATTTTCCCTTTTTTTCCCCACATTATTACAGAGAGCTCTTGTTACAGAAGAAGATAAACGTCTTAACCCCTGATCCCACTGTCCTCCTCGGGTATAACTGGTTCCCGAATAAGCCGTAAGGTGCCTTATAAAATGCATAAACTGCCACAATGAATAAGATAATAGTGATGAAGCTGTGGGCTTTATCTTTCATAAACTCCGCTTCTCCTGTTTTGCCAGACATCACTTTCTTTTGCAGGACTAAACGGCTTCACACTGGATCGTTTAGTCTCATTTGTAATTTTCACTATAACGGCAGGGTGCCTTGTGTCTTTGGGTTACATGGGAAGGAAACCAATAACCCAGTAAGTAATAAACAGCACAGCCCTGATTCACAGCTTCATATGTGATACACTGTTAAACCGAGGAATAAGATACACAGAAAGGTTGGAGGACACAGTTTTCTAAACATTGGACAGCAGAATCATTTTTATTGGCTTGACCAATGTCCCCTGCAGCAGCAAGAGTTCTCAGTGTCTTAAGTGTTCTGGTAAAACCTACATGAGACATTATTGTGTCATTAGCAAGTATCAGCCACAAGGATTTACTGAGGGCTACTATTATGTGTCTTACAGTGCAGTTCCTCTAATGGCCACTAGATGCTGACTCTAAGAAAACTCCACTGTGATTCCCAGGTAACTGTGAGGTATGTTCACATTTTTCCAAGTCCATCTTAGAAGAGACTGACATGTACACTTTAACAATTTATGGTCACTGTCATCATCCCTCCTGTTTGTACAAACTGTGAAGAGATGAATATAATCCCAGTGCAAGAGCAGTGTTGGAGAGTAACTACTGGCATGTAACAGGAGTAAATTACAAAATAAATGTAACTGTAATCCTTACAACTTCTCAGAGATAAAATATCATTAAATTACAGTTCCTAATCAAAATGTTGGTGATTACAAAAAGTGTTGTACCAGAATATATTCTTATTGCTTTGCATCTTTTGGCCAAACAGGAACACCTTATTTTCACATTAAGGTCAGATAGGTGATAGGTGTGAAATCTAATAACACTTGCTACCTTAAATTAGCATTGTGTTTTCATTCCATATAAACCTGGAGACATCATTAGGCTGTGAAATATTCCTACAGGGCAACAACACACTGAATTAATGGTACTGAAAAGTAATCAAATGAAGTAAGTTACATTACTTTGATGAAGTAATAAAGCAGCTACATTAGTCATTATATTTTAAACAAGGTCATTAGTAATCTGTAACCTATTACATTTCAAAAGTAACTATGCCAACACTATAAGAGATGGGAGGGGTGTATGAAGGAGAATATACTTAACTACAAGTTTATGACCTTTTAAAAACTAAAATGATATGAAAGTGAAATGTTACATCATACTAGTTAATTGAAAAAATCTTCATGTTCATTCAATTTGACTCCGTTTCTTGACTCTCTCAACTCTCACTGGTTTCATCGTGAATATGTTTAAAGGAGGTCACTCAGCTTTAAATGAACCGAAGCTGGCAGCTGCAGTCAAAGTGTAGCCATACAGTGATGCTAACCACTGAGCACAATCATGATTAGCACTGAGTATTCATCATGTTGCTTTCCATTTAAAAAATAAGAGCACACATATCGTCGTTGTCAACATATATCAACATGTCAACATCTAATATATATAAATATATATATATATGCTTAGTCACCACACTTCCCCCTCCCCTGTTGTTCTCTGCAAAGTGTTATGAAGCTCAGTGAAAACAGCCACTAAACAAAAAGAGTACAACTGAATAAAGTTACCCTGTGTACACGGGAGCCACCAAAAAACAATCCAGCCACAAACGTTAGCCCACACTAGCATTGCTGTGGTAGTAAGACAGCTAGCAGCAGCAACATTTGCCAAACAAATTCAAAATATCACTAACAGCAAGTTAGCTAACATTGTCGTGCCTTCTGTGGCCGGTCACTAATGAAAACAGACGTGTACCATTATGTAGCCATCAAGTTACTTACACGTGGAGGAGAAGAAAAGTCAGTTCTGACTCAAGCCCTTTGGCTCCACAGTCGGACTGGGAAAGAAATTCATCCACTGGGACTGGCCGCACAAATGACAGCAAACAGAGAGGGTCGGTTAAGACACTGACAAAAGCCGGCAAAAACTTAAAAAACTTAATTGAAGTTTTGACGGTCCATGGGATGACCAGGATTTGAGCCGGTAGTCCCCATGGTCAGTCCACCTGTGATCTGGTCTTATCTCTTTCTTTGGGAGAGACCTTTTTAGACAAAAGAAAAAAAAAAAAGTGGTTTCTTCTGTGGAAGAAATCCTGGAAGGTCGCTTTAAGCTGAAAGCTGCGTACTGCACTGTGCCATCTCCCGTGTGGGCGGTGCCTATGAGTTTATAAACGTGGGAAGGACCAATGTTCTGAACTGTTCTGAACATGATCCAGCTGAAACTCAAATATCTTCACCAGCACCAATGCTCCTTTTTAGCTGAGGGTTTGGGGAAACTGAAGCATTATTACTCTGATAAAACAGTGGATGATTTTAGTCCACAGCATCGCTTCAATTTGTCTACAGAAATGTAAGTAAAATAAAAGTCATTTAGAAGTTTTGTCTGCATCCTCTGAGGTGAAATGAAAACCAGTGTTATGAGACATTAAGGACGTGTAGGCTCGTCTCCTTGGGGTGATGCAGTTAAATAAGCACAGCAGTAGATAGTGAAGCTGCAGACAGCTCAAGTTCTGCTGATTTTGAAGTTTGTGGTAGCCTCAGGTAGACCCGTCTGAAAATTAGTAATTATGTGTGAGACACTGCTGGGAGCAATGCAGGAAGTTGATTTTGGGTGGGTTCACCAAAGCTTCAAGCATTCCAGCTGGTTAAAAATCTGAAAAAAAAACAACTTCTCTTCAAAGGAGGATCCACAAACATTCATCTATTAGAAGAAATAAAAACAGTTTAAAATTCAGTGTCTGACAAGACAAGTGTGTTTTTCTTTGCCGTCTTGAATAATATTAATGGAGGTTCAAATGGCCAGTTCTGAATCCAATTAAAAGAAACCTTGGCACAGAAAACAAAACTGATATTTAGTAAATTTTAAAAAGGTAATTCAACAAAAGGCAGGACATTTCATTGTCTCTGCTCTATGGGTGCAAACTTTAAAGCAAGTTACCCTTCTGGACAATGCACCCATTAAACTCATTTTCCAAAACGATGTAAAAAAAATATGACAGACTGACCCACACACACCACATACAACACCTGAGCCATTTACAGATGAAGCAAAACTTCCAAACATTAGCTTGTTTGAGCTTCTCAAACATCAGTATTTGCTGTTTTCCATTGCAACGGAATATTTCTTGGTTTTGGAAAGTTGTTCAGTCAAAACAAGACAAATGAAGATGACTCCATTATAAATGGGCCTTTTTCACAATAACATTTATAGACAAAATGATTTTATTTAAATTAATTTTATCAATGTACGTCCTTTGCGAAAATGCTCCTAATATTTCAAGAAACTGATTGGTTTCTAGTGAATACACTCATCGGTCTGTCAATACTTTATCATGAAGTCATTATTAATGCAGCATATATTCCATATAGGCAGAAAAAGACTGCTAAAATAGTTATCACCACCCGGTGGTTTGAGCTGACTTTTGCTTTTCTTTAAGCTTTGCTGCTTTGAAGCAAAAATTTGTCTCTCACTGTACACCAGATCTGCAAAAAGCAATAGTCCTCCATGGACTGTTAAGCGAATCACGTGTCTCCTAATTGCACTTCTTGAAATTTGCATCATATGTAAATCTCTTTGAAAATATTTGCTTTAGTAGCACCTAAGGATGATGAGCAAAAAAGTGCAATACTGTTTGTATCCTAGTTCGAGGTTGTAAAATAAAATGTAGCAGAAAGACTCAGACGTCAGTTCATGTAAAGTGGATATCAGATGTCGGCACGCACTTTTCACATTTCTAGTTTTTATTGTCAAGAGGCAGCCTGAACACAAAGCCCAATCCACCAGACATTTCTCACTTAATGTGGATATATTGGCTCCTGGCGATGTATTAAATATGACAAATTACTGTAAATCTTTGCAATTGCATAACTGTTCCTACATGTTATACTTAGGAAATATAATTATGTTGCTGTATCCAAACAAATGCAACTGATTGGCTTTTTATTTCAGTCCTAAATCCAAAAAAGACAAGAGTATTGTATAGGAGTTTTGTGGAGTGCCTGAACAATTCAAGTGGACTGCACTGTGTACATGGGTGTGGAGCTGTCCGTGGTGCTGAATGCTTTTAACTGAGTTACTGTGGACGGCAGAAAAAGAAAAACAACAGAACTAAACTGGATTCTGGAGAACCTTTTGATTTGCCAAATTCAGAAAATCCATATACACATTTAAAAGGAAGTTCAGCATTAAGAGAAATGCTCTTTTCTTTGTTGTCAATCCAAGGGTGAGATGAGATACTAATT